CAGGCTGGCCTTGAGCTCACTTTGTAGCCCAGGCTGGCCTTGAACTCGCAACGATCCTCCTGCCTCAGCCTCCCAAGTGCTGGGATTACCAGTATGTGCCACCTCATCCGGCAGCTGAATATGCAATTTATATGGCAAAAGAGACTTTGTAGATATTGTTAAACTGAAGATATTAATATCAATATCTAATTAATAGATATGAGGAGGTTATCCTGGCTTGTCTGGGTAGACCCAGGTAGACAAGAAAGAGGAAGGAAGACAAGGATCAGAGAAAGAAATGTGACTATGGAAGGAGAGGTCTGAGCAATGTAGACAGGAGGCAAGGAATTTGGGAAGCTTCTAGAAGTGAAAGCAAGAAAATAGATTCTCTTCTACATTCTCCTGAAGGAACACTGACTTAAGTCTTGTAAGATCCAGTTTGGACTCCTGACCTGGAGAACTGTAAGAAAATAAATTTCTGTCATTTCAAGCCACTGAGTTTGTTATAGTATGTTATAGCAACAAAAGGAAACTAATACAACCAGACATCTGAGAATCCAGGAGAGCAAGGACAACTTTACTGTATATATAGATCACATGTAGATCTTATTTAAATGCAGACTGTGCTTTAAATCTTGTGCAAGGTCTGAGACTGCATATTTCTGCCAAGCTCTCAAGTCATACCCATGGTTCTGATACACAGTTTCATTAATTGTGCATAATCACCGATATGCCCTTTAAGTAACATTTCAATTAACACTCAGACACACACTTTAGCAATGTGTTAATTTAATAGAGACCAAAAAAAATTAATAGAGACCAGAAGGCAATAATAGTATATTGTATAGTCTTTTGAAGCTCTTTCACATTCATCATACTTCATTTTATCATCTTCACACTCTGTGATGTATTATTGTCTCCATAACAGGCATGAGAAAACCAAAGGTAAATCAGAAACATGATTTACCCAAGCAAAATTGTGGAGATGTGGAACCCAGTTGTTTTGACCCCAGAGCTTGTGTTTTTACTACTGGTCAGTGGTTCTCCACCTCACCCAAGGATCAGAATTGCTTGGCAAGCTTTAAAACTCCAGATGTACAGGTCACACCCAGACTAATTATGTTAGAATCACTTGTTGTGTGCCCAAACATCAGCATATATATTTGGAACTGCCAAGATGATTGTGATGCACAGCTTAGGTTAAGAACCCAGCTGATCTCTTAATCAGCAGGACTAGCAGCAGCAGGAAACTTGTTAGAAATGAGGATTCATGGGCCCACCAAGATCTACTGAATCTGAAACTCTGGGGTGGGGGTGTGGAGGACCACCTGGGCGACTCTCCCTGAAGGAGGAGCAATTGTTTCCATTTTGGCTGAACCTGGCACTACTTCCATGTATTGATATGTACAGAGCTGGCTAGGACTTTTCCTTATCTTTTCAATTGGCTTTAAGCAATGCATATTGGTCCAGCTGAGGTGCTGATGTGCAGACTTTTAAGCAGCATCCCCCCATCCCATAGCTCCCAAATAAAACATGTGTGAGCTGGGGTGAGGCAGGATGAAGAGCCATGCTCCATGCCTCAAGATAAGAGGCTAGGATCTCCCAGGACATAAAACACACACATCAGAGCTGAAGCACTAACTGTGTTAGATACTGTCTCATCAGTTGTATTATGCAGATTACGCTTTCTACATATCTTTCTCTCTGCATATTGCAGAGGTGATTTCAGGCCTCCTATCTAGCCCAGCTCATGGCACTCACCTATTTCCCTCCATCCTCACAGTTACTCATCCTCAAGCCACTCCCTTCTTCACAAATTAATAACACCCAGGTTCGGCCCTGGGTCGAGGCCTTTGTTCTGAATAGCTATCATCATGGCTGGACTTAGGACCGCTTGGCTCCCCATAACTACAAATATGCCTTAGTGTCTTTATTCTCGCCATGGCTTGCACTGAAAGTGGTAGACTGGAATTAACTCACTAGAATTCCAATAACTGTCCCATGGGACTACAAATATAAATCTCCTGGGCTGCGATGAAGACCAGGAAGGGCTCCCGGGGGGGGGGGCATGAAGCTGTGTTTTAATAAGTCCTGCAGGTGATACTGATGCTCTTGCAAACCTGAACATGGGCTTGAGAAGGGCCATGGATGACATCAAAAGCTAGGGAAACAAAAGCACATCTTAAGTCGAGGTATAAAAATTAGGCCAGGTTGTAAAAACTGAAATCATCCTACTAAAGGCATGTCCCAAAGAATAACTATTCTCAGGCTGGCAACTAGCATACTGAGTCCCTACGACCCAGCTTTTCTGAGCCTTTGTGAGAGAGACATTTGCCAAAGGCCCCGTCAGACGGTCAGAACATCCTGGAATATAATACTATTTGCTTCTAGCTCTGAACCTTGCTCTCTGCTCCACCACTTAAAACACTAATCTCCCCCATTTGTGCTCTCACCTGAACTGAGTAAATAAGCTTCTAACCACTCTTCTCCCCACCTCTCTCTTCTTGGTATCCAAGACGAGAGTAGAAGGCAAAAGGTTAGTTCTAATGTACCCGAGCAAATGGATATATAACCTAAATTGGAGTCACCCACATCTGCCCGCCCTGCATGCATTTCATCTGATTCAGCAATACTGCCACCCTTTGGCCTAACCCGCAGGAGCTCTATCCATGGAAAATTCCACTCTCAAACTACACACTTCCCTAAGTGAAGCCCACCTCCTCTTCTCCTTAGAGGGAATCTTGGGTCTACAGGATGAAGAAGGGCCAGCCTGCCAACCCCTACTCACTAACCAGAGACACAGCCCACCATGGTGTAGAAACAGTTCCCAAGGAGCATAAGCAAGAGACAGCAGCTTGATAGGGAGTGAGCTCTCAATTCTTTGATTAGTCTTTCCTGTCCTTTTGCGTCCTCAATGAACTGAGTGCCAAGGGATTAAGAAACGAGGGAACAATATATTCTATTTGAGAGAACTGGCATTTGAGGTGCTAGAGAGAGAAAAATAAGAAACAGTTTAAACCAGGCGTGTGGTGATGCCTGCCTATCATCCCAGCACTCCAGGAGGATCAAAAGTTTGAACTCATCCTGGGCAATTTAACAAGACCCTGTATCAAAGTTTTAAAAAAGGGGATATAAGAATGTAGCTCAGTTGTGGGTTCAGTCCCCAGAACAACAACAACAAAAACCCTTAACTTTTGAAGAAGTAATGGCATAAAACATCTCCAGTTTGATGGAAAGTATTCATTCAAGAAATTCAATAAGTTCTAAGTCCACACTCCTGGACACATAAAAATAGGTCTAAAGAAAGCACGGAGCAGGGCATGGTGGCGCACAACTGTAATGCCCACACTCTGGGAGGCTGAGGCAGAAGGCTCACAGCCTTCAGCCCAGCCTGGGCAACTTAGTGAAACCGTGTTTCAAAATAAAAAATAAAAAGGGCTGGGGCTGTAGCTCAGTGTGAAAGCCCCTGGTTTAATCCCCATTACCGCAAAATGAAAAGAAAAAAGAAACAGCTGAAATGTGTGGTAATACCCTTGAAGGATGCTAATGCTGGGCCCCTCGAATAGCTTATTTCCCACTTCAACTGATTATGATCATCTTGCTTGATTAAAAGCAGTCATAATAGTAACTGGGGATTATTTATTAGGCAAATGCTTAATTAAGCTAGATCAGTTATTAAGCTGACACTTGAGGTTTAGGAAGAAAAGAAGTGGAAATGTAATATCAAGCTAAGGAGGAAGGAAAAGTGTGATTACAGTCAATTATATCTTCTGTCAGACAGGCAAGCTTTTGAATGGGCCCATGCCTCCAAAACTCTCAAAGCATCAATGAAGGGAGAAGGGCCCGGAGACAGCATGCGCCAGGTACTCAGGAGTTGTCTAGTAACTTGCTGTTGGAGGGGGAGGGACCAGCTCAGGGCCCAGGGGAAGGTCTGCACCGGGATTCTGACTTCAGAAAGCTGGAGACACAGGAGGCTGAGGACTGGAAAAGAGACAGTAATTCTTAATGGCCTCAGGATCCCAAAGATGACAAGCTGCCAGCCTGGATTGCCAGTGAAGCCCGGAACTGTACTGTGGCTCTGAAGCCCCCAGCTCCTTCTCCCGTAGCCCAGAATTTGAGCTGGAGAGACAGCATGCCCTGGTAAGTGGAAGTCCTGCCACTTCAAGACATGGAGTCATCGGGCTCATTTGGAGTGATCCTTGCTGTCCTGGCCTTCCTCATTATTGCTGTGAATGCACTAGTGGCTGTGGCTGTGCTGCTGTCAATTCACAAGAACGATGGTGTTGGTCTCTGCTTCACTTTGAATCTGGCTGTGGCTGACATCTTGATTGGCGTGGCTATCTCGGGCCTCGTCACAGACCAGCTCTTCAACTCTGCTCAGCCCACACAGAAGACCCTATGCAGCCTTCGAATGGCATTTGTCACTTCTTCTGCAGCTGCCTCTGTGCTCACGGTCATGCTGATTGCCTTCGACAGGTATCTTGCCATTAAGCAGCCCCTGCGCTACTTTCAGATCATGAATGGGCTCATGGCTGGGGCCTGCCTTGCCGGCCTGTGGTTGCTGGCTTACCTCATTGGCTTCCTCCCACTCGGAGTCTCCATATTCCAGCAAACCAGCTACCACAGGGTCTGTACTTTCTTTGCTGTATTTCACCCGCGATTTGTGCTGATCCTCTCCTGCGCTGGCTTCTTCCCAGCCATGCTCCTCTTTGTCTTCTTCTACTGCGACATGCTGAAGATTGCCTCCGGGCACACCCAGCAGATCCGAAAGATGGAACATGCAGGAGCCACGCTGGGAGCTTACCGGCCCCCACGGTGTCCCAGCGACTTCAAGGCTATCCGCACTGTGTCTGTTCTCATCGGGAGCTTCACTCTATCCTGGTCCCCTTTCCTTATCACTAACATTGTGCAGGCGGCCTGCCAGGAGTGCACCCTCTACCCACTGCTGGAAAAGTATCTGTGGCTGCTTGGTGTAGGCAACTCCCTGCTCAACCCACTCATCTATGCCTATCGGCAGAAGGAAGTGCGGCAGCAGCTCTACCACATGGGCCTGGGAGTGAAGAAGGGGCTCACTTCTTTCCTCCTTCTCTTCTCAGCCAGGAATGGTGGTGAAGAGAGGCCCAGGGAAAGTTCCTGTCACATTGTCACCATCTCCCACTCAGAGCTTGATGGCTAAGATGGTAAGGAAGGAGAATTTCAAAGCGCCTTTGCTCTCCCCACTCTGGGCCCCAACTAGGAGACAGAGCTAAAGGGAGTGAGAAAAGTGCCCTCAGGCAATGACCACCCCACCTCCCCCGCCCCTCACCCGCAGAACCAAGGGTAACTGAGACAAGGTTCTGATTTTCTTTTATCATCAGTTTCTCTATTTGCAAGTCTCCACTCCTCCTCATCCTTATTTTGAAGTGAACCTGTCTCTTGGACAGGTATACATAAAGAAAGATAAGTACTGCTATATTTTATGTATATATACATATTTTTTTATGCAGAGCCCCAGGCTGGTCTTGAACTTGCTATGTTCTGACCTCCCAATCCTCCTGTTTCAGCCTCCCAAGTGCTGGGATTAGAGCCATAAGCCACTATACCTGGCTTCTAATCCTATTTTTTTTACTAATAATATTGTTTTTGGTTTTGGTTTTGGTACCGGAAATCAAACTCAGGGCCTTGCACTTGCCAGACAGGTGTTTGTGCCGCTGAGCTATATCCCCGGCCCCCTACTTTTTTTTAACATACTGGCGCAACACTGTCCAATAGAAATATAATGTAAGCTACACACATAATTTTTAATGTTCTAGTAGCTATGTTAAAAAGGAAATAGGCAAAAATTAATGTTTTTTAGCCTCAGGCTTTAATTTTTAATAATTTTAACTGTACATATATAGGGGCACAGTGTGATAATTCAATACCTGTGTATAATATGTACTGATCTAATCAGAGTAATTAACATTTTCGTCTCCTTAAAGATCAATGTTAGTGCTTTATTTAACCCAATATATCCAAACTATTATCACTTCAAGATGTAATCAATATTAAAAATTACTATACATTTTTCATACTGTCTTTGAAATCTGTTGTGTATTTTGCTCTTACAGAATATCTCAGTTGAAACTAGCCATACTTTAAAAGCTCAATAGCCATATATAGCTAGTTGCTCCCATACTACACGGCACAGCACAATTAGGTTATTTTCTTTGTAACTGTATATTCTAATGATTTACTACAAAGAATTGCTTTGGTAATGTGAGTTCCTCTACCTTCTGCCTTCCCTAATGTGAATCAGAGATTTTATATAGAGTTAAGAGTCTAAAGCTTGTCTGTTCCCACACCTCATAGGCTCAGGGGTTCAAAATAATGGGGACTCTTTTGGGGCAAGAAGAGCCTGTCTTATGATTATTTCTGCTATTATCCTCCTAGTCCACCATACTTTTCCACTCTCTTGTGCCCCTTCCCTTCAGCTGCTTCGTATGTCCCTTTAGCTACTTGCTGAGGACAGTGCTAATTCACACACTCTGAGACAATGCAAGAGAACAAAAAAGGAAAAGAGGGACCAAGGCAGGTACTGCCAAGCTCTCCAAACTGAACCAGTTTGCTCCCCAGAGCTACATTTTATTCCATTTGCTCCCAAATTTGCATTTCCCTAAGAAACTCAGTTGCACAAGAAGATGCCACTAAAACTTGATAAGAGATCACTGAGGAGCAGGTGCCTCATCCTAATTTCTGCGGGGTATAGATAATGACAATGTTGGCAGGTGGGCTTCCTCTGAAAGCCCTGGCAGGAAAATTCAAGGACAGATGGGGGAGAAATCCAGGAACCACGCTCTGCCTCTCTGAGCTTCCCCGTAACCCTTTCCTCGACCTCCTGATCTCCACAGTGGATTCTTGGGGATTTAGGCTCTCAGGGTCCTAAACTGAATTATCTCCTCAGAAAGCTATGGAGTTGACAACAAAAGAGGGCAAGAAGGAACTAAAACAATGTGGATCAATTTGTCTGGGATTTGAGGCTGAAACAACCTTGGAAGGTTAATCCTTCAATGTCTCTATAATGGCCCATTGTGTCCAGTGTGGAATGGCTAATTCCAAAAGGCCCTTGAAATGTTTCATTCAAACCTCAAATTATAATATTCAGAACCTGGGTGAAGTCCAGCCACCCTCCTCTGAAAAGAATGCCACCATACCATACTTTGTTCTTGGGTTTTCTGAATTCTCCTTTAGTCTAAGATTAGCTCTCAGCTCTCTTTCATAAACCATTCAGAAGATGATGATCAACCTTTGAGTTTCTGTGCTCCTGAAAATGCCCTTCTCTCTGTCTTTGCCCTCTATCAAATAGCCTCTTTCTCCACATCACCCCTCTTTTGGTAAGTTGTTTTTCACTGCAGCAAACTTTCATGTTTGCTTTCACCATCACAAGCCTTTATATTTCTACAAGTGAAGAAGTTTTTGGCTCTTGAGTGGATGATGAAACCCAACAGGCCATTAAGTGTTGGGCATCCAGCAAGTAACAATTAATGCTGGCACAGTCTGGGATTGGGTTATGAGTTACTGGGAACTAGGTAAAATACAAATAATAACAGGATTTTTGACAAAATTGAAAGCAGACTCAAAACAATGTCCTCCTTATTGGTAATTCAAAGCTTAATTCCTGGCCTTGCTGCAAAGGATGCATCTTGCTAAGGTAACATAAGAAAAGTGTAATGGAGTTTACTTAATTGGTCTGATTTCATCATTCTACATATATCAAAAATCACATTGTGCCAGGCGTGGTGGCGCACACCTGTAATCCCAGCACTCAGGAGGCTGAGGCAGAGAGACCATTGTAACTTTGAGACCAACCTGGGCTACAAAGTGAGCTCGAGGCCAGCCAGAAGTGCATAGTGAGACCCTGTCTCAAAAAGACAAAAGAAATCACATTGTGTCCCATAAATATGTACAATTATTATTTGTCATATTACAGTGAAATCTTAAAGAGTTTTAATGTTATAGGAGGAAAGGGGGGAGTGGCTAGGTGAAAAGGGTGTTACTAGGTTCAGTCTGACTGAGAAATGCTGCTATTCCAGGAGTCAGTATGTGCAGCAGAAAAATCAGAGGCTTTGAAGTCCAACAGACAAGTACTGAAGTCATGATCCAGTTATTTGTATTCTCAAAACTAAATTTCTCATCTGTTAGGGGTTAGACTGACTACTTTATATTGGTAATGTAGCTGAGAATGCCTAGTAAACTATACAGAACACTGTAGGTGTCCAGAAAAATGTTAATTTTCTTCCTTAAACATCCTAAATAAAATAGCCAGCTGACCACTTAAGGGAGTCTGACAGATTTAAATATTATAACCCACAAGACAAAGACAATTTGACTCAGAACTTTGAATTACTCAACTACTGAGTAAGGTTTTACAGAATGAGTAATAAGAAGTAACTCAGATAGAAAAAGACAAATAGTAAATGTAGTATCTTAGGAGTATTGAGACAGAGCAGACACAAATAAAGCACTGGCACTAGTATCACACACTTGGGTTTAAGAGTAACCACAATGACGAACACTGTTTAATAAGCTGCCAAGAGCAGAGATACAGAATGCTATGCAAAAGTTTAATGGCTTTCTTTGACACAGGCTCCTTCACAGATAAGGGACTGCATTGGAAAGGATCCATTCATGCATCCAATGTGTCTTCTGATGGACTTGCAAAGAAGCCAGATTCTGTTCAGCAATTGATCAAAATATCCAAGATATTAATACCTTCTGGGATACAACATAGCTCAATCAGTTCCATTTATAATTTCCACAAGCAACTTACCATGGATTTGTTATAAAAACTGAGACAATGATAAGTTATACATTAAATCCTTAGGTAGCTAAAGCTATGCATATCACACCCCAGTTTCAGGACTACTCTTAAGAAAATATAGCTCCCTGTACAAGGGTATTTTGAATAGTTTTACAAGTGTTAGAGGCAGGTTACTTTGACCTACCAACACTCTCCTGCATGACCAATAAGCCCATCTCTGGAGCTGGCCAGCCAGTTAGCCTTGCAATACCTTTTCCTTAGATGAACTAGTATTAACTGCTTCAAATGGGAATTGAACTCATGACTTTGATTTAATTCTCATCAAGCTCAGTCTCTGGCCAAACTAAATACAGACCAATGAAAACAGCAGGCATGAGAGTTACTTCAAGGGCACACACAGAATATGAGGAAACACGGTGTTGATACCTGGGCAAAGAGTAGCAGCAGACTAAAGCACAAACCACAACTTCCTGTCTATCACCAAGCACTCAATTTTATGTCTCCTTCAGTATCTTCCATGTTATCCCTCAAAAACTGCCGATGGGTCTGGAATCTTCTTTTAATTAATAGATCCTCATTTGTTATTTCTTCAGTCTTGTAAAGTCATTGGTGGTACCTAAAAATGTCAACTACCATTCATTTGTCTAATGATCCATCTACCTATCCCACAAGTATTTGAGAGCTAGGTGCTAAAACTGCCCTATTTTTGATGGCATTTCTTTTAGAGATACACATTAACGATGTTTATTACTCCCTTATGATTATAAAAGCAAATTTATTTATTTCAAAAAATTTTGAAAATATGGAAAATTACAAAGGAACCCCTAATTAAATGACCTGTTACTCCCTTTCATCCTTTTCACACTTAAAATTATACCATGCATGTTTTCTTATGTGATTAATCATCTTCAAAAACATAACTTGTAATGGTTGCATGTTTTTTCAACAAATATGAAATATCTTAGCAATTTCCCTATGGTTGTACTAAAATTGAGGTTATTTCCAATTTCTCACTGTTATAACATCACCAGAAATACCCTGTGTATAAATCTTTGACATGTCTCTGTTGAATTTCTTAAGGATAAATTCTCCAAAGCAGTATTACTAATGAAGGGACATTAAACATTTAAAAGAATTTTGATTCTGATTTTTGCTGAGATTTCTTGAAGTGTAACGTTTCCCTGAGATATCTGCTAAGAGAAGTCATAAAGGAACCATAAAAGAACAGAAATAAAAGCATATGAACTCTTGAAAGCATAAACCATACGGAAGGAGCTAACTGGTTATTTTAACAAAAGGAAATCTTTTGAAATGCCCTACTACTACTAGCATTGTTATTGTTTCCTAAAAATTCAGAAATCTGGACTAACAAAACACATCAGTTTAAGAAAGCACCT